TATTAAGAACAAATAGGTACATACAAATGCATAGTCTCCATCCCAGCAGGGAAGGAAACTGAAATTGTTCTCTATGTTCTACCCAGGGACTCAGTGTTAACTGTTAATGTCACTCGCTCAGTCAGCAGGCACTGGTTAAATGCCTGCACTGTGGCATTTGGGTCAGATAGAGTTCTGTTCTGAAAGGAGCTGTAACCCTCAGTAATGACTGTTTCAGGGGGCAAAGGGATGATAGGGAGTTAGGGCAAAGCAGGTGGTGAACAGCCCAGGACCAAATCTTAGTTCTGTGACTCTGCTGGTCTGGACCTGTTCTTGTTTGTAAAGTGGAGATAATGCTGTCCTTTGGGGTTAAATCAGATGACTGTGTGTTTTACTGAAAGTGCAGTAATGGCCCATAGGCATGAAGGGCACGGGGTGGGGCGGGGGCAGAATTAACCTGAAAGGGTCCATTTTCCAGGTGGTGAGGGTTAAACCCTCAGCCTGGCTGGCAGTTTGCTGATCCTGGGCCCCGGTGGTTGTGGAGAGCTGAGTGAGCAAGACTGAGGAGTCAGTGTCACTGCCTTTCTCTGACGCTGTCTTTGCAGGCAGTCACGGTGCCTTCTGAGCACTCAACAGAGCAGAGGGTGTGCAGGAGGGGCTCCGTCTTAGAGGGGACTGTTAGCATTCCTTTGCCTAAATCCCCACCTTCATACCTAAGTGACCATTTATCAATGACAAGGTTTATTTTCCATATCTAGAGACCAGAAAGTGGGAACATTCAGAGGGCTGCATCTTGGAGACTCAGAGTGGACCCAAAAAGGACCCTAGAGATCACGTACCAGGCACGGAAGACAGATTTTGTTTCATGTGTCAACTTCGGTTGATTGGCAGGTGCTGTCCAGTGCTCTTTTCAGAGGGATTCTGAGGCCTCTTTCCAGGCTGCTTAACAAGGTGTTGATATTGACGAGCCCCATGTACCACAGACAGGAGATTAGAAAGGGGATTTTCCAGCCCTGATCTAGCTCTGCCTCCCCATTTTAGAGGTTCATGTACTTTAATTATCAAACTACACTTCGAAGGGCACCTGGGTGTCTCAGTTGGTTAAGAGTCTGCCTCTTGATTTCGGCTCAGGCCATGATCGCATGGTTCGTGGGATCCAGCCCCATGTTGGGCTCTGTGCTGATAGTGCAGAGCCTGCTCAGATTCTCTCTCTCTCTCTCTCTATACCTCCCCTGCTCGCTTGCTCGCTTGCATGCTGTCTCAGAAATAAATGAACTTACTAAAAAAAAAAACAAACCCCATTTCTATCTACCTACTGCCTATCTACTTCTATCTTTTGTCTACCCTCACACACATGCAATATCAGATAGTTTCCCTTCTGTTTTGGAAGCAGGTTGCTACAAACATCTAACTTTATGTATAGCTTAGATCAGCATATGTTGATGTATTTTGTTTCTGCTAAGAAAGGCTGGTGTGAGTTTCTCTGTGTCAGGACTGTAGGAGGCAGGTAGTAAAGGAAGGTTTTTCTTAGATTCAGCCATTAGCTCAGGCTGTCGTGGGATTCCCCCTGGGGTTGTGGGTAGACGCAGAGGGTGTCGGATGTTTTTGACCCTCCCCCCTTGGTTGCCTGTGACTCACTCAGTAGAGAAATGAACATCGCTTCATACCCTGCCCCCATTTCTCACTCTGAAGACCCACCCGTAACCACAAAGCATTCGTAATTTGACAGACGCCATGTTCCCTTACCTCTGGGCCTCTGCACATGCTGATCCCTGTGCCTGAGCCCTGGTTCACCTGCGTCCCACATCCCTCATCATCCTTGGGTCTCAGCTCAGGGGTCATTTCCTCAGGAAACCTTGCCTGATCCTTACTGCAAACTAGATGTCCTTCCTCTGGGTTTCCGTAGCATTTATCAGTTTTTTAAAATTGCTGGTCCTGGTCTGAGCTCAGAGGACTGTGTTGATTCTGGTTCTGTTCTCAGCGAGCCTCCACCCCTGGGAGTGCTTGGGAGGGAGTTGCCTGCAGGTTTATTTCTTCTTGGCCTGCTTAAGTGTGTCACTGAGCCAGTCTTATTGGCAGGGACCCAGTACAGAGTCTTCGGGTATGTTTTGAAACTATTCAAAACCTACAATCTGGCAGATTTATGAAAATAGCAGTAGTTTGCCTTACTGTTGAAATCCTGAGAGAAATTTGGCATCAGCTTCCCAGGAGAAATGAGGGAACTTGTATTCTTCCATTTTTTATTTCCATATACTTTTTTAACTTCACAGGAATCTGTGTAAGGGTAAAAATCACAGGATGCATTTATTTATTTTTTAATTTTTCAGAATGGGTTTTGTTTTTGAGAGAGAGCATGAATGGGGGAGGGGGCAGAGAGAGAGAGGGAGACACAGAATCCAAAGCAGGCTCCAGGCTCCGAGCTGTCAGCACAGAGCCCGATGTGGGGCTTGAACCCACGAACTGTGAGATCATGACCTGAGCCAAAGTCAGATGCTCAACTGACTGAGCCACCCAGGCGCCCCAGGATGCATTTATTATAAGCAAATGTTTGTATTCACTTAGCCTGGTGAGAATGAGCACAGCACTGGTTCATTTGAATGAGGGCAGGGGTGATTTTCCTGGTACCCTGTTCATTACCAAAAAGTTTATTTTAAATACTTTTTTTCCATGAGAATTTTTCTAAAACTCTGTCCCTTTAAAACCTTTCCCCCCTACTCTGTTCCAAGACTTAGCAAAACAGGAATTGCATACTTTTCTAATAGGTGTGAGTGAGTGAATGAATGAATGACTCATAGTTGTCAAGGTGTGTAAGTGCTGGGTGCTGAGGGAACAGAACCCTTTGTTGTTTGAATAGCCACAGAATGTAGTTTTGAGGCCTTGGTGTGTGTGTACATAGGGTTTCTGGTCTTTTCCTTGCAGTCACTGGCTTGTGCTCCTGCTACTGGCAGTGGGCGTGTTCAGTGCTTGTTCCCACGTTTAGTTTGCTCATCTGTTGCGAGCCAGGAAGATGGATCATTGGGGCTGTTTAAATTATTCTAGTGTACGATATAATGAGGGCCTTTGGGGCCTTCGCTGTGAACACAGTATGTAAAGATTCTCCGTGTGAACTCTGACTTCCATCCGGGCTAACAGGAGACCTTGCGAATGCTTTCCTCCTGTGTGTCCCTTCCGGTTATATGCCGGGCTCATGGCCCATGACAGGTGGTGAATCACTGGCAATGGCTGGGAGGGGTCTGTACCTGTTCTATCCACCAAAGGTGTATGAGGGCCACTGGCTGGGTGTCTGGGGACAGAGGTGAGGGTGGTCACCTGGGCTGGATGCAGCACTGTGGCCAGGGAAAGATTTTGGTGAGACTGATGGTAGGCTTTTAATATTCAGGTGGGCATTTCCTTGTAATCGACACTAAAATTGTGATTGATCATCAGTTCAGCTTTAACAGAGAAGTGAGTCATTGTGGCCATCTATTTATTTATGTCTATGGATTAGATAGACTCTTGGGACAAGTAAAAGGCCTCTAGTAAAAAAAAAAAAAAAAAAAAAAAAAAAAAAAAAAAAAAAAAAAAAAAAAAAAGTATGAAAGTCTGAAAATGTTCCCATTTCAAACACTGATGAAGTTGTGCACCTTACTAGCAAAGAGAAGGGCCTTAGCCCAGTACAGTGATGTTCAGTGCCATCAAAGCTAAGTGTGTTAAGACTGTGGAATCTGAGTGCTCGGAAGGGTCCCTGTGGTCCAGCTCGCCAGCCCCTCCTGCCCACCTTCAGGCTGGAAGGTAGGAAGGGGTGTTCGGTTTTGGCTGAACAAATGTCCAGCCCCCACATCTGAGACTCCACCACGATGTCAGGGAAAAGCTATTTTGAGACACTTTTCCGTTGAGAAATATTAGGACAAGATCGCACGTCACTCCACACCCACCTTACACCCAGGGACCTGGAATGAACCACACTAGTTCCTGGGACCCAGGTTTGGTTTGTTTATCCTAGCAGGTGTTGGGGATACCTGGGGCCATTTTTGCACAGGGTGAGCTTATGCTGGTAAGTCTGTCAAGAAAACCAGGCTATATGTGGCATGTCCCTTTTCCCCCAAACAGAAGAGGATATAATGAGAAAGGGAGAATCCTGTGGAATTTTTCAGCTGATGGAGGGCACCTGTTGGGATGAGCACTGGGTGTTGTATGGAAACCAATTTGACAATAAATTTCATAAAAAAATGAGATCGAGCCCCGCGTCAGGCTCCATACTGACAGCATCATAGCTGTTTGGGATTCTCTCCCTCCCCCCCCCCAAAATAAACTTTAAAGAAATTTTTTTTAAATGAAAGATGTAAGTATGTGCATAAAGAATTAGCCACTAAGATGTTCTCTATCACATTATTTAGATTAGAGTATCAAAAACTTGAACCTCTCCAAGAAGATTGGTTGAATAAGTTTGTGGTCTTTGTACAAAGTAAAGATGAGACCATCAAAAATGCCGCATGTATGTTAGGAATTTGCTTTCGAGTATTCTAGTCGAATGTGTGTGTGGGGGGGGGGGACCGAACCGATGCATAAACAGTCCATAATGTGAAGCCAGGCTGTGAGTGTGGCGGTTTGTTTCTCTGGCTCCTGGACGTTCTTTGCATCGTGGAAAAGTAAAGTTGCATACGGCCGTGTTTTGGAGGACTCCGTATTTCCCGTGGGGATTACTCTCTCCCATTCTACTTTGCTTCCCACACACTGAAAAGAGCTGCTGGTTCTGAAGTTCCTTCGTTATCATGAGAGGATATTTATGCTATCTGAATGGAAAAGGGCCACAAATAGTCATATATGGAATTCTCATTTGGTTCAGAAAAATAAACCCATACATAGAAAACAGATGGACTGTGCACACCTACATGGATATCGCTGGGTTGAAAGAGTACTTTTTCTCTAGCTTTCTAGCTTGATCCCCTCCACCCCCGCCTCCCCTACAGCACATGCAGATCAGTGGTGAAATTTTATGAACAGTTGAGCTTAGTTACATTTATCTTGCTCTTTTGGTTTAGGGAAGAGCATGGAAGAAATAAAGAAGGTGCTGCTGCTGGTCCTGGGCTGTGCCGTCCAGGTAGGGATCCGGGCATGCAGTGGGGAGGGCCTGCTCTTAGCCATCTTGTGTTTGGAGTTGTGCGGATCAAACGCCCCCTGAATTGAGGTGGGAGTGAAACCATTGGTTGCCTGAGAGACAGTGGCCACCATCTTGGATGGCACTGATTTCTCACACAGAGCACCCTGTGCAAGAGAGCAGGTGGGGATCCCATGGACCAAGACGCCATGAGTAGACTGCCCCGTATGGGAACATCTAGAACAAGATCAGTAGACTGCAGCCTGGGGGCCAAATTGACCTGCCACCTATTTTTTTTTTTTTTTCAACATTTATTTATTTTTGGGACAGAGAGAGGCAGAGCATGAACGGGGGAGGGGCAGAGAGAGAGGGAGACACAGAATCGGAAACAGGCTCCAGGCTCCGAGCCATCAGCCCAGAGTCTGACGCGGGGCTCGAACTCCCGGACTGCGAGATCGTGACCTGGCTGAAGTCGGATGCTTAACCGACTGCGCCACCCAGGCGCCCCAACCTGCCACCTATTTTTGTAAATGAAGTTTTATGGGAACACGGCCATGCTGATTCCTTTACATATTATCTGTGGGGCGTGGCCCACTGGGTCTGAGAATTTTTTTTTTTTTTTTTTTTTTAAACCATCTGGCCTTTTACCAATGAAGTTTGCCAGCCCCTGGCCTAGACCAGGTGTTCTTGTTCTTTACCGGTTTAGGAATCATCTGGAGAGATTGTCCAAAGTGCACATTTCAGGGGCTCCTGGGTGGCTCAGTGGTTTAAGCATTTGACTCTTGATATCAGCTCAGGTCTTGATCTCAGGGTTCTGAGTCCAAACCCCACACTGGACATGAAACCTACTTAAAATAATAAAGTGCAGATTTCAGTGTTTTCAGCCTGGGATGTGCTTTTTAAAAATCTGCTATAGGTCTGATCTAGGTAGTCAGAGCAACTTCTAGAGAAACCTCAGTGTAAGGGCTGGTAAGGGGACAAGAGCATTCTCGGGTATAAAGGAGAAAGCCAGGGCTTGGGTGGATAGTTTGTACTTCTGTAGCGTGGTGGCCCCAGGTTGCCCTCACAGAATCCTTCCATTAACACCTGTAACCCTCCACAGTGTGAGAGGAAAGAGGAATTTATTGAAAGAATCAAACAGCTGGACATTGAGACCCAAGCCGGGATCGTGGCCCATATACAGGAGGTAGGTGTGTGGCTTCGTGGGGTGTGGCTGTGGACCGCTGCTCCTGTGGTGGCCAGGAGATGGGCAGTCTCCACCGGTGAAAAGTTTGAAGAATATGTCACCCATCAATGTTCTTGCTGATCTTAGGTTTCAGACACCACAGACAAATGTATTCTATTTGGAAAGGTAACCATCAGCGAGCTAAAATAAAATGGGGTAAAAATAAAAAAAAAATTTTTTTAAGCCCTCAATCAAGTCATCTTTTGCCTCCTCTTCTTGCCTAATATGGACTCAGACTATTTTTAAGAGCTGTCAAGTGATTTAGGCTCAGAATTTGATTTACAGACCCTGAAAATGTATTCTGGCAAATGTCACCCTGTTTTGAATGGTTGATCTTTATAGAAAGAGATTCTCTGCTTTTGTCAGTAACATGGCAGAGAGACAAGCCACCACCACTTGGGAAGTTAAAAACCAGCAAGTCCCAGAGGGCTGTCTCCAGAGACCCAGCATCCGGGATGGGGTCAGGAGGGCTCTGCACTGAGAGCAGCCTCTCTGCCATTGACCTTGGTGGGAGGGGGTTTCCCTGGAAAATGAGCCTGTAGAGAGAGGCAGGTGCTCACCTGAAAATTTTCTTCCCTGATCTCCACCCCACCCTTACACCACAATTCTTCAATTACCTCAGGACTTAAGGTTCAGCCTTCAGTGTAATTGGACAGATGTATTAAATATAAAAGACATAACCAGGAGCTCGTAGGAGCAGGTATATAACTGACAGGGTCAGTGAAGGCAGAGCTCCCGCTGCTGGCACCAGGGACAGGCTGCTCCTGGGCTCCCGGGCTTCCACAGCTGCCCAGGGCACTGTCAGGGCGTTGGGGGCATGAGTTCTGAGGTGGGATTTGAAGCAGGAGACAGATGCAGTTCTTGGCCGGTAGGGGGTCCATCAGGGAAAGTCAGTAGTGTCACAGATATTCTCAACCACCTTTATCAGGGGCAGACCAGCTGTTAGCCTGAGAACCATTCTGCTTTTAATTTGAAAATTGTATTTATCTGGGGACTGGGTCCTTGAGGCCAGCAGTGTTTGTTTGTTTGTTTTTTGCCACTGACCACCTTTCCTGCTCAGACAGCAGAATATCAGAGAAAGAGAAGGTCAAATGTGGCCAAAAAGGAGTCTTGCATGCATGTCATTTGGTGGCTGGCTGTGGGGACTGGGCTTCACAATTAGTTAGGTGCTGCTTAAACGTTCAGTGTCCAGACCCCACAAGAGGCCTGCTGAGTCAGAACTAGGGGATGAGGGTTAGGGTTAGGGTGACTGATGTGCCCTGGGGTTGAGCCCCTGCTCCCCTTTTCTCCTCTGTGGGCAGACCTAGCACCCATCCAGCCTGTGCTCCCAGTTCTGAGAGTTTAAGGTACCCTGTACCATGGGATAAGGTTCTCCTGATTCCTCAGGATCAGCTGAATCTTAGCTTTTCCTTTGTCAGGAGGGGAGAGGTAAGAAAGGCCTTTTGAGAAACTAAAGGGCCCTGTCTTTTGTTTTGTTCAACTATCTTCTGTTTCTGTTTACTGCTCTGAAAAATTTAAGAACTTCTTTTGGTGCGCCTCACTGAGCGGACAGCTCTGGCTTCTTTCTGTTTTCCCTTGTTGAGGCCTGAGTACGTGAATACTTCACTTCCCAAACTGAGCTATCAGGTGCTCCAAATAGATCATCTGCCCCCTTGGTAGGTCTGGGGCCGGGGGGTGGTGAGAAGGTCAGACTGTCACAATCCATGGAGAGGCTGCTGTGTGCGGACATCGCTGTGGGTCTCCGCTCACACCTGGCGGAAAGGGAAAAACCAGATGATTTTACATGCGGAATGAGATTCAGGATTACTGAAAATTGTTTTAGATTATGAAATATCTTCCCCCGAAATAAGATTGTTATGTGCCCCACATTCTGACATAAAACTTTTATGTAACATTTGCCGTATTCACATTGGATTTGAAGTAGTAACACAGGGTCCCCCTCCTGAGGGACCCTCCTAGCCCCTGAGGCTTCCCTTTCTTGAGTTGTAAATTGACAGCTTACAACAACCATATCTGAGGACTGTTTAGGGAAATACTGTATTGTAGGAGAGCTTTCTGGCATTAAAGAATCTAGGTGCTTGGCCCGCCTGGGTGGTTTAGTCGGTTAAGCTAAGCGTGTGACTTCGGCCCAGGTCATGATCTCATGGTTCCTGAGTTTGAGCCCCATGTTGGCCTCTGTGCTGACAGCTTGGAGCCTAGAGCCTGCTTCGGATTCTGTGTTTCCCTCTCTCTCTGCCTCTCCCCTGCTCATACTCTGTCTCTCTCTCTCTCAAAAATAAACATTAAAAAAAAATCTAAGACTCCAGGTGTTCTCTGAGCCGGTGTT